CATGCAATGCAGAGTATGATTACCACAGGTATTAAAAATGTGGCTGCAGCAGTTGGCACAGCCTGATTAGTTGAAGTTCCTTTTCCTAAAAATATCAAAAAACGATAACAAGAAAAAACAAATTAGAGAGACCTTCTAGGATAAAAATCGCCCCCAAGTAATCAGTTGATAGTCACTAAGCAATTTTCAACAACCATATTTTTGACCTAAAAAAAAGAAGGCAAGTCAATATTATGAAGTTAGTCATTTCTTCAGTCTATAAATTTCTTAATTATGTCATTTCTGAGTAGTTGAAGTTAAAATTTTTAATTATTGGTATTGAATGATTTGAGATGCATTGTTATGTTGTTGTGTTGCTGTAAAAAAGAACCATGCATGGTCGGTTGGTCAAAATTGTCACTTCCAGAAAGCTAGTAAACAATGCATATCATTTTTATAGCCATTTCCATGGTTGATACATTTAATGAAGATTAGTTACAAAAATTCTTCTTGTACACTCATTGACTGATCATCTCTTAAGCCCAGAAACCCATTTAAGTTTAATAAGTGTGACAAACCAGTCATTCAAGAAACAGAAAGTTACATAAAAAAAAAGTTCATCTGTGTTTGTTTTTTGTTGCAATTGTTGTTTTGTTTAATGTGCTTTTAGTGAATTTTTGTTGCATTTTTGTTGTTGCTTTCTTTCATCAAATTTTTTAGGTTGGGTCATGAGGGCCACTCAAAGTTAAAAAGTCCTATAGAATTGCAACCATATATCCAAGCCAACATTTTAAGAAGTGTACGGAGTACAATGAAGGGAATTAATATTTTGATCATGAAAGTGATCAATTGCAAGTGATTCCTAGAGAAAATTCCACTTGTGGACCATTGTTAGGAACTGTTCAGTAGATCATTCCATCTGTTACAATATTAATTTAATGAATTGACATTAATGACTTTTATGATAAAAAATAGCTCTTCCACTTCATCTACAGGTAATAAAATTAGGCAACTAGGGAGGGTACTTACCCTGTGTCTTTGTGTAATTCAGGTAATAATGTTGATCGTGCCGATGTTCTGTTTTATTTTTGTCGTGAGAAGTCACAACAAAAACAAGTTTATGTACAGCGATTGCATTTCCTCCTAGTGTTGTCTTTGAGAGGCGGAGAGTGAATTCTGTAGAAACTTGCACCTGGCCAGTTGAGGTATGGTTTACTTCACTCTTCATAAGGATATGGGCTTCCTCCAATTCAAAATCCCTAACCACTATCGGGTTCACCCTAGCCTCAAACACTCCAGCAGAATTGGGAAGTAGGGAAACGAGGCTACCGCTTTTATTTTCGGATTCTGCGTAGATATAGAGCTGGACTTTGTCCACCAAAATGGTGGCATTCGAGAGCACCATAACATTCATTATTGTTAAGTCACGTTGACCTTCCGTCACCTGAATGTTTTCAGGTGGAAAGGTGTAATTTCCATCATCGTTCCTCACACCTTGCCCTATAATCAGATAGCATAAATATCTCCTTAGCTCAAAGTTAAAAAGTCCTGTGGTACAGTTGACCATGCATGTTAAAAGTAGCACCTTGTACGGACGCCTGTATGGTGTCAAGTCCAATTTTTTTCAGCTTGATGGGTTACTACTACCATTTTGTAATATATAGATTTAGCCAAGCCTAAAAGCGGAGCTTGCATTTTTTTTTTCCCCGCACATCCCAAGGGCACAACGCCTTGCCCCAGCCAGGACTAGAACATGGGTCAACTGACTCAGAGCCCAGTGTACTGACCACTGGACTACTGGACAAAACCATGGTGTTGGCATGCCCATGGTACAGTTGACCACACATGTTAAAAGTAGAACCTTGTATGGTCAGTCATACAGTCGTACAGTTGTAAGTCCAAATTTTTTCAGCTTGATGGGTTACTACTACCATTTTGTATAATTAGGGGGCTACGCTCTGCGAGCTCCACAATTAATTTGATAAATTGACATTAATGACTTTTATGATTAAAAATAGCTCTTCCAATTCATCTGCAGGTAATAATAAGTACAACTTGCCATAAATTTGTTAACAATTTGTGGCAAAATAGTTTTAGCTCCAATGAAATACAACACACCTTCAATATGCAACACTCCAATTTGATGTTCTTCTTATTAATATATGGTGCCACAATGAACCTATTCACACAGTGCTCTACTGCTACATTATATCTAGATCATTTATTACACTAAAGGGCAAATGAGAAGAGCAGCATTTGGGATTAGAATTTTTCCCCCCAAAGAAAAAAGTGTAAAACCATCCTGATGTCATGTCTACAGTAGTATTCATGTTTGTTTTGTCAATCTTAAATATAAGGGGTGTACTTTGTAAGTACTTATCTAATTTATCTACCTTATCTAAACATATCCAGTTAAGAGGTATCTATTGTCTTAATTTAAATCATAAAATCACCTTGTGTAAAAATAGGGGGCAGTCAACGTAAATTAAGCAACTAAAGAGGGTACTTACCCTTTGTGTACTCCAGGGAATACATTTGATCGTGCCGATGTTCTGTTTTATTTTTGTCGTGAGAAGTCACAACAAAAACAAGTTTATGTACAACGATTGCATTTCCTCCTAGTGTGGTCTTTGAGAGGCGGAGAGTGAATTCTGTGGAAACTTGCACCTGGCCGGTTGAGGTAACATTTACTTCACTTTTCATAAGGATATCAGCTTCTTCCAATTCGAAATTCCCAACCACTATCGGGTTCACCCTAGCCTCAAACACTCCAGCAGAATTGGGAAGTAGGGAAACGAGGCTACCGCTTTTATTTTCGGATTCTGCGTAGATATAGAGCTGGACTTCGTCCACCGAAATGATGGCATTCGTGAGTACCATAACATTCATTATTGTTAAGTTGTGTTGACTTTTCGTCGCCTGGATGGTTTCAGTAGGAAAGGTGTAACTTCCATCGTCGTTCCTCACACCTTGCCCTACAATCATAAAGCGTACGTAATTTTAATTAAAACTCCTTTGATGTACTAAGTTAGCTTGATTTTTAATGTACGAGATCAAGCCATGTGGGATATCACTACGAAAAATGCTGACTAATCATACCAGTATATGAGTAAAACTAGCAGGTTCTTAACCGTCCGTGCACGAAGTATGGAACAAAAAATTGATCACAATCAAAGCGTACGGATGCATGGTTGTTTTAACACGAGCGTTTTGTGTGTGTGCCGAATAGAGTACGAGTGTTGTTGTCAATCTCACTCGACTTGATCGTTTTCTGTGCGAGCCGAATGGAGTACTAGACTTGAAGTCAATCTTACTTAGCATATGCGTTCCCTGTGTGCTGAATAGAGTTCGAGTGTTGTGGTCAATCTCACTCGACATGTGCGTTTACCGTGAGTGCCGAATAGAGTGCAAGACTTGAGGCAATCTTGCTTGACATGTGCGTTTCTGAGCGTGCCGAATAGAGTGCAACAAGTCATGCTCACTTGACGTGTGAGATTTCTGCGAGTGCGACACTTGAATTCAATCTTAATTAAAACGTGCGTTTTCTGTGCGCGCCGCATAGAGTTCGAGACTTGTATAAATATAAAACTAAAAGGTTCCTCACCGTCCGTGCACGAAGTATGGAAAAAAACAGAGATCACAATCAAAGCGTACGGATGCATGGTTGTTTAGATTCTGTTCCTAACAAACGAGCATGTATCATCGGGTACCATACTCTCACGGTTATATTCATAATTTATGACTGATTATGCAATCGAAACCATGTTGTCACCCAATATTTGTCACGCAAACTACAGATTCGTTGAACCGCGTAAGCCTTTACAGGAATATCATAGCACCCAGCAACTGGGTACGGTAATTGACTAGAAATCCGCTTTGCTAAATAACAGTTGGCCATTTTTTGTTCCCCTTGCACCATTTTCAAGACAATATTCACCTCCCTAGTTGACTGTAATTTCTTACACTTATTTCCAAAACGTTATCGGTTTTGGGAGCAGGCTCTTGAGAAATAAGAGTCATGGCGAAATTATAAGAGTATGTATGAGAATACTTACGACCGCTCTTACGAATATATAATAAGTCAAATTCTTAATAAAAAAGTACCTCACCTTACAGAGCATCGCTTGTTAGCTGACCGCTTACTATGTTGAAAAGAACTCATTTTTGCGAAGTATCCTCTTTTAAGTTTACTATGCCAGTGACGGCGTGGTCTTGAGTCAATTTCGAGCCCAGGGTCATTTTGGCACCCTGTCAGTGGTATGGTTGCCAAATAATAATTACTTATCACATAAACTGCGGTGTTATACAAGGATTTCCGGCCTTGAGGAAAGTGCTAAATTGAAGTCCCCTTCTGTGGAAGTTCTTGCAAGGTTTCGCAAACTGTTCAGGAGGTTGTCTTTCTTGTCTTTGTTAATGCCATTCTTTGAGTTGTTGATCCACTGTACCCATGCTTGTTCTCGATGGAATTCAAAAATATACACAAGACAGCCTGGAACATATATAAAACTGAGTTGTAAAATCTCTCTGATAAGAGAATACATGCTGCCAACCATTTCAGCTAACACAAGGCCTATTGTATGCTAAAAATTAAACTACCAACGAAGGGCGCCTAGCATGACCTGTGAGCCATGGAGTAAAAATAATAATACTTTTACTACTACTACTACTACTAAAAATAATACTAATAATGCTAATAATAATAATAATAATAATAATACTAGTAATTTATTATTATCATGGTTGTTATTGGAAGATTTGCAACTGGCCGATTTGGGCCGTGTACCTGAAAGACTTCTTCTGTCGGTAGGACAAAGTCAATAAATGAGAATTTTGTAAATCGAAAATTACGACCATTGTTGTATTTGTAATCATGATTCAACGCATCTTTCCATCTTAAGAGTCAGCGCCAACGCACTCTATGATTGTTATTCGAGAATTGTTGATTCATTTACTTTCATTCATTAATGAAGTCGACTTTTCTTCCTAGTGAAGAGCTATTGTGTTAATATGATAAACAAAATAACACATGGTTGCTTGTAGATATGGAATTTCTTTTCTCGTGTTCAACTCGACATCTCACTCGTTCGCTGCGCTCACTCGTGAGCTATCGAGTTAAACACTCGAAGAGTAATTCCATATCTACACACGCCCATGTATTATTCTCTATCTCTGGCATAATCGATTAATGGTTTTACTGACGATTGAGTCTGCGAATAAGGCAGAAATGAACATTTTGTCGGCACGAGATACGACAAGGCCTTGGCCTAAGGCCCGAGCATCATGGGTAATGATGCGGTGGTGTATATGGTATATCAGTTGCGAGTGTATGTATGTATGCCTCGGGCAATATATGCCTCGGGTTGGTTCTCGGCAGGCTTCCCTAAATAAACTTTTTTGGTTTACACTACTTTGTTATTTGTTGTGTAGTGGAGACAAAATATTCAGTTTTTTCGATTGGTTAATAGGAAAACAATAGACTCCACACAGGAAGTGCGATTTACAGAAGAGATTGATCGGAGTAAGTAGAGCATTAGCAACGATAAGTTTGAATTGTTTTTACTGTTGTTGCTGTTGTTGTTGTTGTTGTTGTTGTTGTTGTTGTTGTTGCTGTTGTTGTTGTTTTTTTTTTGCGTGAAAGTTTTCACTTGTAAACTGCCTGTCGATGCGTGAGAAAACATCCACCATGAGCCCCTGCGCGCTGCAATGGCGGGAAGCTGTTCTTCATGGAACGATGGATTGCTGTCATTATTGTCAGAGACGTATAGGTAGAAATTAATCATTATATTAATTTGTTTTGAGAGAAAAGCACAGAAAAGAAGGAATTGCTGAGGTCCTGCGAGCGTACGGGAATGTACTAGAGTAAAAGAGTTCAACATCAGAATAGCCTAGTGATGAGTATCAAAGAAGAAATCGAGAAGCCTAAATATGTAAATAAATCGCGAAGAAAAGGGTTCCGTTCTTAAAAAAAAAAAACAGAAATAAGGTCTGTTGCCATCCAAAGCCCTTCTCAGGCCACAGTTTCACTATCTGCTTTACCGCAAGTAAACCACTCAAGAGATCCGTTATACCCACGTCTCGGGTACTCCAAGAAGACACTTCTGATGGAAACACAGAGGTAATCGTTTCATATTTATCTACGAATCTTGCAACACATTCAATCCGCTCTTTCTATCACCTATACTTTAACACTAATTTGAGGGCCCCCAATAGGGTTCTTCGATCCCGCGATCCCGACCCAAATTCTCACAATCCCGTAATCCCGACGGTTTATACCGGCCAATCCCGATCCCGATCATGCAACAACAACAACAACAACAGCATTTATTTAAACACGATAAAAAAATTCAGCAAAAGCTGATGTGGTCGTGTACGGACAATAAAACTAAATTCCTAACTAAATCCAATAAAACTAAATTCCTAACTAATTATAAGAAGACTAATGTAAGATTTCTACATATTTTCAACAATAAAAATTCTACATAGTACATCATTATAACATACGTGGCTTAAAAATACACTTGAGTGACTTTTTAAAAGCGTCAACGTCTTGAATTGATCTCATTTGATTTTCCAGAGCGTTCCACCGAGTAATTGACTTGTATGAGCATGATTTCTATTTCCATGCAGTTTTCTCTAAGACTTATTCCTAGCCCTAGCAGAGCCATTTCGGTGGGTGATGATTTTTTCAATCAGCATTGATCTGTTGAAGTCTATGGTCACCGTAAGGCGTAATTTTATCTCTTTTCACCAAAATGATGATACCTTTCATTTTAGAAGTTTTCAAAGTAACAGTTCGAATAACGTACGATATAGTCACGATAACGACTTCCTTCCGTTAAAAATTCGATCACGGACGAACTTATTAGTACAGACAGGTCGATATCAAAGAAACGAGTAACAATGTCAACAACTGCATTAAACACAAAAGGTGACGGCAATCCCATAGTTCCATAAAAAGGAAGATAAAGAAGAATTTAATGAATACAATTCTGCTGCTGAAGCGAATATTTCTTCCGCAGCGGGAACGTCTTCTGAGGTGAAAATCAGCCTCTCGTTCCAAAGATGGAATATTGCCATAATCACGAGCCAAATATTCCATCTTCTTCTTCGTCTTGTTTCCCGCTGTTTTCTTGCTGCTCCTCAATTCAGAGCGTTCGAGGCTGACCGGTTCGCCTGGCTGAATCAGTCTCTGATAGAGGTACGACGGGGTAGTTGCTCTTGCCATCGTTGTTTATGCCTAGTCTCTCATCTTCTGCATGCCCCATGGTGCCATTGGTACTGGTGGTAACGATTGACTATTGCTTGTATGTCTGGTATGGCCGATAGGATAATGGCACGTTCGGGTACAGGATACCAAGAATTTGAATTTGTGAAAAAATTACACCGCCCAATGGGTTTTCCTCTTTCAGCCCTCTTTGGCTGCATTTCCAAAGTTTCTTGGGTAATCTCACACCTTGAAAAGTTTATCTTTGTGATGCACAACCAAGTGAATATTCTTTACGTCTAGTGTCGTTCAACTCAGCATGTTTATATTGGTATAATTCTAAGGCTTACTGGGGTTTTTTCAAGGCCGCTAAGCATTTCAATTGACGCAACAGTCTTAGATGCCGCGATACCCTGTGGGCCATTGAGGGTATTTGGTAAATTGGCAACTTCGAATTCGCTTCTGATATAATTGTCATTCTCGCGCAATAACTGAAGAGTGTCGCTGAACAGCCCGATCGCCTCTTGAATGCTAGATAGCCTCTGCGCCTGGTGCTTTTCATGGACTGAGAAGATCAGTTTCATCATAAATTCTCGACATCGAATATCGGTCCTAGGTTCGTTTAAGTGATTATTTCCCGAATCCCGCACCTCAAAATCGCCGATACTCGTGTCCCGTTCATGATAGCAATCCCGCATCTCTCCCCTCTTGCTTTAAATTCCCGGAACCTGGCCTCTAAATAAGCCCGATTCCGGATCCCGAAAAACCTACTGGGGACTCTCTAATTTAACCAAGCAGTCAACAGGGATTGAAATACTTGAGAAGGCTGGCCATCGAAATCCTGAGGTCCCTAAGTATGAAGGTTTACATAATGCTACATTTACAGCTAGTTTGTATTGTGATAAGCATTTTTTTTTCACAATTACAATACACGTGTGTCATTTAAAATTCTACGCGTTGGTTGGATTGCCTGAGCAATCAACCATCAAGCTGTTGTGGTTATGTCTTTCTAGTATTGAAGGGAAAAGTAGTGGCTACGCCTTTTCTTCTCCGAATTTTCTGTTTATTCTGCCGATATGTAGCAGTCTTAAAGGACTATTATCTCTTAAGATATCTTTTCAAGTATGATTTTAATTCCTTTGGTGAGTTTATTATAATTTTTATATTGTCAATCTTGTTTTTGTTTCGCTCGACCTTGACCGTAAGACTGAGGAATTTAAGGTGGAAGGTCGTTTTGTAAAGCGTGAAAATCGCGAAGGTATCTACTTAGTATGTGAACTCCACTCTGCGTAGCTTAGCGTGATTCGCCAGTTAAGTAGTGTAAAAACATAACGAAGGTTAGAGATTGACAGCTCAGTAAGCGTCAACTTTATAAGCGGTGCCCAACCTTTCCTTGAGAGATCAGAGCTAGTCCACGTTGTATTAACTTGCGTAATAAAAGAGGGAATAAAAGAAATAGGCAACTGAACGACGAGTGTTAGGAAGTTTCTTCTAACACATGTGCGTTTTCTGTGCGTGCCGAATAGAGAACGAGACTTTTAGTCAACCTTAATTGACATGTACGTTTTTTGAGCGCACCTATTAGAGTGCGACAAGTCATGCTCACTTGACGTGTGAGGTTTCTGTGTGAGCGACACTTGAAGTCAATCTTACTTGAGATGAGCGTTTTCTGTGCGCGCCGAATATAGTTCAAGACTTGTGGTCAATCCCCTTTAACCGTTGTGCGTTTTCTGTGCGCGCCGAATATAGTGCGAAACTTGAGGCAATCTTACTTGAAATGTTCGTTTCTGTGCGTGCCGAATAAAGTGCGAGACTCAAGCCAAACTTCCTTGACATGTGCTTTTCTGTACGTGCCAAACAGAGTACGAATGTTGTTGTCAATCTCACTTAACATGTGAGATTGCTGTGCGTGCCGAATAGAGTACGAGCGTTGTAGTCAATCTCACTCGACTTGTGCGTTTTCTGTGCGTGCCAAATGGAGTACGAAACTTGAAGTCAATCTTACTTAACATGTGCGTTCCCTGTGTGCCGAATAGAGTACGAGTGTTGTGGTCAAGAGTGCTGGGCTAGATGGTGTTTTTTGTCAGGCTTATGTCAACCCATTTGGCTCCACACATGTTAGCTCTTATTAATACTCCGTAGGGTTACAGGTGTGGGGCTGTATGTGGAGTCAATATTATGATGAAATTAACTATACCCTTAAAGGTGGCTCTCTAAAGTTTGTTAGAGTCACCAATTGTTTTTAGTGATGTACTGTATAATCGTGGGTGAAAATTTTACAACCAT